TGCCTTAAGATGGTACCAAGGATAAGGTGTTCCATCACTTTCCCAGGGATGGAGGTGAGGCTGACCGGTCTGTAGTTACCCGGGTCCTCCTTCTTGCCCTTTTTGAAGACTGGAGTGACATTTGCTTTCCTCCAGTCCTCAGGCACCTCTCCCGTTTCCCAAGACTTGGTAAAGATGATGGAGAGTGGTCTAGCAATGACTTCTGCCAGTTCCCTCAGCACCCGCGGGTGCATCCCATCTGGACCCATGGATTTATGGATGTCCAGATTGCTCAACTGTTCTCTAACCCATTCCTCATCGACTAAGGCAAACCGCTCCGTCGACCTGACTTCATCTAAGGTCTCAGGGGTACAGGGCTCTTCAGGACTGCCCGCAGCAGAGTAGACAGAGACAAAGATGGCAGTAACTCTGCCATCTCTGTATCTTCTGTCACCAGGGCACCCATCCCATTCATCAGTGGGCCTACATTGCCTCTGGTGTTAGTTTTGTCTGCCATGTATTTAAAAAAGCTCTTTTTGCTGTCCTTGACCCTTCTTGCCAGGTTTAATTCTAAGGATGCCTTAGTCCTCCTAGCTGCCTTCCTACATCCTCTAGCAGCAGCCTTATATTCCTCCCAAGTGGCCAGCCCCTCCTTCCATGACCTGTAAACTCTCCTCTTCCACTTGAGCATACCCAGCAATTCCCTATTTAGCCACGCAGGTCTCTTGGCCCTCTTCCTTGACTTCCTAGTAGTGGTTCTAGAGTTAGTTCTAAGGAGAAATATGGTAGTTTTGAGGTTTTGACTTCTAAAAATAAAGCAGTCTCCCAAGCCCACTCCTGTGGTTGGGCTTTATCCTTACAGGCTTCTGTCAACAGCTTGCTTAATGAATGAAGATGTGAAGGGAGAAAAGCTTTTCAATGAGGAGGCTGTGTACTTCCCTGGCCTGGAATGGTAAACAAGATGTAAGCAGTGATTGAAAATATGATATCCTTCTCTTGGTACTCCCTCACACATGCAGAATCTATTTCCCTTTTGAGTTCCTTGAAACCACTGGAGAAGTTGTTCTTCCATGCATGTAACCTGTAGGTTATCTGTTTGGGAAGCACATAAAGGTTCCGGCTTGTCTGAGTTATGTACGGCTGGTAGATGTGGGGGAAATTCAGCCTATGATCTTCCTTCTCCTAACAGTAATCCAACTCCCAAAGCTGTTTCCCCTGATTTCATTCTCCCCCAGCAGCAAACCTGCACCCTGCTGCTACCTGTCTGATGTGCAGGGAATAAGCATTTCTCTCTTTTGAGTCTGAAATGTTGTCAAGTACTATCCCCAGCTGTGAACACGAGGTGTTCACCCTGCCCTGTCACCAGTTGTGCCCCATTCTGGTGCCTACAGCCAGGGGTACAAGTGATGGAGACCAAGCAAGCTCACCAGGAAGGTCTGTGGTTCCCCTTTGTCTCCCCACTGCCTTGTTCCATGGTAAATCCACTCTGTGCATGAAGGAAAGCCACATTTCACTTGAAAAGCTCAGCAAACCTCACCCTTTCCTAGCCTGGCATGCTACCAGCACAACTGGTGGCCTGTTCTCCTTGCCAGTGCAGAGCTGCTTCTCCTTGCAGGGCTGCTGCTTCTGGGAAACTGCTGCCTTTCCCACAGTCTGACCCGGTGTTTCTCTTCCTGCATTGGGAACGTATTAGTATATTTTCTCTTCTTACTGTCACGTGTGGCTATAAATTATGCTCTCAAATGATTGGCCAGGGAGCTTCCAGAGATTACTAATAGAGAGAGAAAGCCAGCATATATGTAAAGAAAATCACCCTCAATATTTAGCTGGCATCGCTCAAAGCTGAAAGGCTTTCTCTGCAACAGGGAAGAAAAGTCTTAGGCAATGGGAAGGAAAACCACACCAGGAGTAAGAGCCAGGACGTACAGCAGCCTGTGAGGACCCAGCACAACTCCTGGGTGCAAGAGGCACCAGGAGCTCTCACTTCCCAGCACCCCAGACCTCACTGGCACTGCTCTTGTTCCTCCACAGCGCCAGGCTCACAGGGCAGCAGCAAAGCTCCTGATACTGGGTCTGCTGGTAAATGGGTCTGCTGGGGCCCATTTAGCCAGGGGGTACAGTGTACAGAGATCAGCTTTCTGGAGTCATTTGTAAATGAGTTCTCCCATCAGAATAGGTTCTGCAACTCATGTAGGATAAAAGGGAACCTGGACAATGTTAGAGTGCATTGACCCAAAAATGCACATCAAAGAGGATGCATTTGGTACCAGCCAGAAACCCAGTAGAAATGTCTTTGTGGACACAAAGCTCCTGTGGATAGATGTGAACAAGCAGGTATCTCTGGCTATTACCTCTCCTTGGAATATCTGAGATAACACTGAGGTATGTGTTTTCCTTTTTCCTAGAAGAGCAGCACATCTGTGTTTTCTGTTGAGGTCAATTAGAGATATGGGAGACTAGAGGCTGATGAAAAATTAGTGCCTTGCTATTGTCTTCCCTCCTGAAGCAGTGATTCTTTGATTTCTGGTTTATAGTAAAGCACTTAGTTCAGAGTCACATGAGGAGCTTTTTTCTTTTTCCCCGGGGCAAGGAGGCAACTGGCTTCCTGAAGGAAGAGTAAAAGATGGCAGCTGGTTTAGTTGGCTTTGTTTCTTCCACCACCACCATTCCCCATCCATAGGGATGCAGCAGCGTGCCCTAGAGGGCATTATTCTGTAGTTGCTGGGGCTTGCTTGCCCCACAGGTGCTTGCTTCTTGCCTCCTGGTCTCTTAGCATCTGCAGATGGAACCTGAGACCCACAGCCTCGCAGGACACACTGGTACAGGAAGCACTGGTCCTGCACTGGTATTTCCACAGGGTTTTCTGTACAGGAGCTAATGCGCAGGCTTGTTTCAGCAGCTTGTTAAATGGCTTGACCCCAGGAGTGCTGCTGTGTCTCTCCTGGCTATTCTTACAAAGGTTGCCTGCCTCTCTGCAATGGTTGTCAGCGCTGAGGTAGGGGAGGAGGCAGGGAGGGATGGAGCTGCCTCACTGCTGATGTGACTCTGCTCTCTGGGGTACAGCTGCACGGCTCTGAGCCGCCTCCTGCTCTGGGGTGCAGCAGCACCTGGAAGAACACAGACGGCCTCCTCCCCACAAACACTAAGCTCCAAGCAATGCAGCTTTATGTTGCATCCTCCCGCTCCCTGTGCTGAGGCTGAGTTATGTTTGTCACTGAGGGAGAGCCAGCCAGCTGTTTGCTGTACAACAGCTCCTGGCTGCCATCCCAAAGTGTTTTGCTGCTTTCTGTCATCTCCCAACAGACAGACAAGTGAGATTATTTGGCAGAAGGAGGTTTTTCCCAGCACTGGCCTCTCTGGTGGCAGCCTTAGAAAGGGGTCATCTGTCTGGCAGTGAAAGAAAGGCATCACCTTCCTTAGAACTGATACATCCAACAGTGCAGTCCCTTGGCTGGCATCAGTCTCCAGAATTCCACCAAAACAGGAGAGGCCCCTGGGCTCATGCCAAGTTGGGAGCTGCCACCTTTCTCCTCAAGGATGTATGGGATGTGTGCTGAGGGCCTGTCGTGGTGATACAGAGGGCTTGTTGCTCTGCCTTATCCAGATGGGCAGAAGGTCTCCTGCAGGCAGTGGGTAGTCCTTGGCAACCAGGGGCAGGTGGGACCCAGGACTTATGGTGTACTGCGGAGAGGCAGGTCCCCTGCTGGCATGCAAGAAAGCAAGTCATTTGGAGGTTGCTCAGACCTTGGCAGAAAAAGGGTTTCTGACATGCTAGAGTCAATGGTGGAGGGACTGAACACTCACAAAGCATTCCTGAGAAGTTCCTCTGCTGGGTGCTGTGGAAGGAAGAAGTTTGGAGGATGGATATGAAGTCTAAAGCCATGTACGGAAAGGTGGAACTGCAGCAGCTACAGTTAAAACCAAGAGACTTCTAGAAGCGTATGTGTGTGGTTTGGGAGTATTTTAGGCAGAATTTGTCCAATCTCTCTTCAAGTTTAGTGACTGTGTCATCTTCAGGCACAGGGGGAGAGCAGAGCCTTTCAGCAGGGGCCGTGCTCCTCTGTGCTGGCCCCTTGAAGCATGCCTGCACCCCTCTCCTGGGAGAAAGGGGCGCCTGCAAGTCAAGAAGGAGCTGACTATATCTGTGAGCCATTGGTGGTGTACAGCGGGGTCTGGCTGCACCTCCTGCTGCTGAATGGGATGCCAGTAGAAAACTTAGCCAATGATTCCGCTTATGGGCTGGCTTGTGTTTCCTCCACACCATGGAATGGGGGGCTGCCAGGGCTCCGGGGCTTGGCACCTCCATCCCAATAAAGGATGATACCAACCTTTGACAAGCTGATCCAAACAGCCACAGGTTGCATAGGTTTTAACACATGTTTTTAATGCCTCACAAAGCCTCCCCTTCACCACGCTCTAGCCCACCTGCCTGACAGGCTTCCCTTCTACAGAGGATCCACAGAGATCCACCTCATGTTCGCTCAAGGAACCAAAGCGTGTGAACAGAAGCATCAGAGTAGTTCTTTTTTTTTGTTCTCATATGCAAATGAAAAGAAGCAACACTATCAGTAGCTGGCAGCCTCTCTGCATCTAGCTGATGCATGAGACGATGCTGGAGATTGGATACCTGCTTGGCCCTGCTGCAGTCTGCTCCACTGCAGCCTTTCCCTTCCACCACTGCTCCACAGCTAGCATCCAGAAATGGCCATAAAAATGGATAAAGATGTGTTGTTTCTGTGCCTGGGGCAAGAGGCAGGGCCATCTCCAGGGAGCACATGGCACAGTCTGTCACATGTTGCTGTCTTCTTGTGCTGTGCTAGCCACGTGTCAGCCTGGTTTCCCCCTGAATGACAGCAGAAATCCAGAGGAGCATTCCACGTGCTGGCAGGGGCTTTCCAGGGCTTTTTGAGTACAGTTTAAGGGCTGCTGCTGACTGTCAGGGAGCCTGTTACTCTCTGAAGATGCTGCTTGGGAAGTCCAGACTGGATATTAGAAAGCATTTCCTTACTGAAAGGGGGGTCAGATACTTCAACAGACTTCTTGACGAAGTGGTTGTTGCCCCATCTCTATCAGTGTTTAAGAGGCCTGCTTGCTTGCTGGCCATCTCACATAGCATCCACCCCTCTCTGTGGCATAATCCCTGAGCTGGACCTGGTGCAGAAGCAGAACTGTGATGAGGTAAATCATGTGTGTGATCCTCTTTTTAAAGACTGTGTCCAGATGTTGGAGAATGTAGAGCTGGGGAGAGTGTGGGGCTTGCCTTGTCTGCCAAACCACAGCAGGGACCATTCCCCCGGGAAATAGAGCTGGATGGTGGAAAAGGGACATTTGCCGGGGGGAGCATTACACTGTGGTAGACCTAGAGCATGAAAAGTTTGAGCAAGGGATGGATGAAGTTAAAGGACAGCAGGGCTGCTGGCAGTGCTTTTGGCTTGCTGGTGCTGGAGCTTGTCCCCTCTCGGTTTCATTGACAGGCTCTGTACTTGCCAAATGCTTGCTGTGGCTGCCTGGAAAGATGCCTTGCCCACTCCAGCAGGTCTGGAGGGGGTAGAACAATGCTCAAGGGAGAGAAAGAAAGCTTTAGCAGGTGAAGTGAGTCTGCTCTAAAAAAAGGTATTATTTGAATACTACACAACAAGTATCAACAGAGTGAGGGTGGGAAAGTTTTCTTACATTTGTCACTCAATATATAATAAATATTTATCACTGCCTCTCTGCTTAAGCAAATCATGGGATGCTTTAAGCAGGGAAGTCAGAATGCAGGTGAATTTCCTCCTTGGGCTAGATGGGTTGCTTGTTCAGCCCTAGGTACTTCTCATCTTTCTTGTGTTGCTGTTTCTTCCCCACCTTTTTTCTTTTGGAGGAGACCAGAATTAAGGGTTGGGCTTATCACAGCCTGCCTTTGGGAATGGTAGATTCATAGGGAGAAGATTCTTTGTGCTATACAAGGTCATCATGTCTAACTAGCAAAATAAGAAGCTTTAGTTCTTCCCATCTCTGGTAAGGGTAAGGTCTAGGAGAGCTGACAGCTTGGGGTGAGAAAGGTGTGAAGAGGAAGAGATGGTTTCCAGAGGGAGGAGTGGCTTTGAGCTTGTTCTTAAACCCTAACGTACTCAGAATTTCACAAAATAAGAGAGTGTTCATGCTGTGTTGTCAGGGATGAGGTTTGGAGGATCTCATAGTGCTGCTCCCAGGGGAGGAAGGTTGAAGAGAAGGACAAAGAGAAGGTGCTTTCTTTGTCCTTGTCTTCTGATGAGCCCCAGCAGTGAAGGAAGGCTTTCTTGCAACAATCCTTATCCATGGGGACCAGGATTAAGATACAATGCTCTGCAACTCATTTACCACACCCCACCAAACAGCCTTTCCTTGGTAGTTATTTTCACTCACAGCAGTTTTGTATTTGGAGAATTAATTGCTTTAATAAGGAGCTTAATTAGAAGTGCAAAAGTACAATAAACAGCAGAAATGTTGGATAAGCACTGAAGACCATTACCTTGAAGAGAGATGCTGCCCTGCTGCTCTCCTGGTAGGAAGGGGTATTAGGGCATTGCTATATCCTGCAGCGAGATTTCATACCTCACTGCTGCTTCTCCTAACGAAAGCCACCTGGCCAAGTGCAGTGGTGGGTACAGCGGGTCTGTGCCAAGTGGAGCTCTGGTGACATGCTCTGTTTGAAAACACTATGCTTTTGCACCCCCTGTGGCCAAACAGCATTGCCAGGGAGCTCTGGATCCCAGGAGCTTTCCTGACAGGCCTCCATGTGCAGGCCCAAATTCTGTAATCTCCTGGGATGTCAGGACACCAGAACAAAGCAGGGTCTGCAGCCCTCCCCATTCTAGACTGTGGTGCAAGGGGATGCATTGGGGTGATGCACCTTTGTCACCCCTCACCTCCAGGCTGACTTTACAGCCTGGTCGTTCCTGCAGTGAAGATGAACATTTCTGACTCCAGCTGAGTTAAAGAGCTTCAAGAATGAACAAACTCTAAGGCAGAAATAGGCTATTTCCCTTCCACCCCCTGAAGCAGCTATCAGCAAGCAAAAAACTCCTCAATTTTCAAGGCAACTGAATCCATTTGCAAATACATGTCAAGTTCAGCAAATAGTTTGGGCTTAAATAATGGGCACGGGTTGGCTTTTTTTCAATCTAAATGTTTTATTCCTACAGTTTCTAAACAAAACATTTCACTTTTTCATTTTAAAATAATGTTCTGTTGTGAAATATGATTAAAAAAACCCAGGCAAAACAAAGGGCCTGAAAATGAAGTAGATGGCACTGAATTTTTGTGTCAAATGCCAGGATTTAGCCAACCCTCAGTGTTTATTTTTTTCCATGGTAGGTGTCAGCAAGCAAACTGGAAAATCTGCATTTCTGGACAACATGATATTATTCTTTTTTTTCATCCCTAACAATGAGCTCAGGAATCAATTTTTACAGGACCATTTTCTGAGCAATCTCGTCGCTGCAGTCAAAATGATCTCTCTACTCTTATTTGTACCCAAACCAAACAGGTAAAGAAGATTCCTGAAGCAGAGGTGCAATTTCTTTCTGTGTCAGCCAAGCTCTCTCATCTAAATAAGAGGGATCTTTTTCTACCCCATCCCCCCAGGGCAGCTCACATTGAAGGTGGTGGGGGTCACAAGACTGGTGCCATCACATAGCACCTCAACTTCACAGGACCCCTATTGATTAATTAAGCCTTGCAATGATGCCTTGAGGTGCACGTAGCATACACAGTGAGTGCTTTTCCTGCTGCTAAAATCCTCATCTGTCAATCTGCAGTCTTTTCTCTATTCTTTTTTTCTCTCGGCCTCCCTCGGTACTCAGGCTTTTACAGCCATTGCTGCGTGGCTCCTTTCTGCCTCTGTGGGCGAATAGGCTGATGACATATCTATGACATGTAGTCAGACAAACCACACTGGTGCGAATTATTTGGTCCCTAAGTATTGCTTGATTAACTCGGTTGTCTGGCACCATGGGGTTGTCTCACCAGCAGACGACAGAGGGAGCTGATGATGCAAGTAACTCTCTCAAGCCTGGGGTAGCTCCTGCAGAAAAGTCTCTGATGAAACCCACCCACCAGTGAGCTGATGTGCAGTGAGCTCTTTGACCCACTGGTTAACACCCCCCAGCCCAAGAAGTATCAAGGCTTTGCTTGGACAGCCTCTGGGTTTAATTGTAGCACGCAGACTCTTCCAGTAGGACATCAGCCAATACCACAATTCACTAGCTCTGCTTTACAGGGGAAGCAGCTTATGAAACCCTTCCCCGATTTCAGAATGAGCAAAAGTCCTCTCCTTTTCTCAACATTTCCTTCAGAGGCTCCCTAGCCAGTTGCAAGGGTATAATTCTTCACTGTCAAGCACTTGCTGCACAGCTCCCCTCCTCTGGCGCCTGTCTGATGCCTTGTGTGCTGCGCAAGTGCAAATGTCCTGTCCCACCCTCAGAGCACGAGAAAATGTTCCTTTCTGTTACTTAAGCCAACTGCACTGTCAGAAGATTCCCACGCATCCCCCACCCCCTGCAGGCTGGTTTCCGTATTCCTTTCTTTGTGCTCCTCACAGCTGGTCCCGGCAAGCATCCCTGCCCATCTCTTACATCCCAGCAAGCATCCTTTACCATCTCTTAGAGCCGGTAGTTTCTGCGGGCAGAACTGGAACAGTGGACACGCAAATGCAGCTGCCAAGAGAGGGCGTTGAGGCACTGTCAGTGGCGAAGCTGTTTGGGGGCCAGCCTGAGGTGCTCTATGTGCAGCCCTACAAGAGAAGGCACCGCTGGCGGCTGTGCCAGCACGTGTGGCAGCTGGGTTTGCCTGCGATTTATGCTCTGTTGATATCACAGAAAGAGTCGGCGCTTTTATGAAGGGATCAGCAGTGCTTTGCAATGGAGATGGCCACACAGAGTGGGCTGCTGCAACATCCCACAGGTTGCTGGTGGCAGAGCAGGAAGGGTGGTTATCCATCCCTAATCCCTGCTCCCCACTGGCTTTCTAACCCTTGCAGGGAGAGTGCAGGAGTAGCTGTCCGTAGGGGCAGCAGATCCAGTACGTAGATTGATGATGATAGGGCAGAGTTCTCCTTGCCCTTCTGTCCTCCAGCCTCAGAGACAGGGGATGTCCATGTCCTAATCTTCCCTCTGGCCATGGGATTGAATGCCCAAACCAGCTCCTCACCTGTAGAAGTGAGTCTCACATGAGCTCCAGCTGCACCTTCAAGGGTGGGGACAGGGGCTGTCACCAGCCAATGCACCCATCCTCCTCCTAGTTTGTGTCAGCCACTCTGATGTTGCTCCATAGCAGTGCAAAACCAGCCAACTGTTCTTTAAGTGGCTGTCTGCACCACTGAGATGAGCAGCAATATTTATGGAAATGTATATATTGTTCAAGGTGAAGCTAGGATCAGTGTGTACCTTGGAGAAGAATCTCAGCCAGAGCATGAAAACCATTTCGTGTTGATTTCTGAAATCTTTAACTGTCTTGAGAGGTATTGTATTTGAAAGTGAACCTTCGAAAGTAGAAAGGGAGAAAACAGGGGAAGTTTAGGTTGGATATAAGAAGGAAATTCTTTCCTGTTAGGGTGGTGAGGCACTGGAATGGGTTGCCCAGGGAGGTTGTGAATGCTCCATCCCTGGCAGTGTTCAAGGCCAGGTTGGACGAGGCCTTGGATGATATGATTTAGCATAAGGTGTCCCTGCCCACGGCAGGGGGGCTGGAACTTGATGATCTTAAGGTCCTTTCCAACCCTAACTATTCTATGATTCTAAAATAAGGGCCAGGGTTTTCAACACCAACTCATTCTACATTCCCCAGAAAGCCACTGAGCTGTGGGGCTCTCTCAATAGACCACAATAGGCAGTCCTACAGCAGTATCATTTCAAATCCCAGAGTGAGGAGTTTGTGTTGGGAAAATTATTTTGAGCTCATTTTTTGGATATAAGAACATACTGGCCTGTAAATGGGTTTTGACTTGTGGCATATATCCACAGTGGTGTGATGTCCCCTGTGTTGGAGTGACAGCATCTGAACATACATTTGCCTGGTGAAAATTTACTGCTTTGATTTTTTTTTTGGCTTGAGCTTCACATTTTGGAGGCTGTGGGTGCCTGTGGGACAGAGGGAGAGAAATGTAAGCTAGATCAGTGCAATAAGGAAGGAGTCAAAAACCGAGGGAGCTGTATTTG